TCACAAAAATTAAAGGTCTATTAAAGAATAAGATGCATTAAATAAACAGTATTAATATTGAGAAGAATTATTATTCTGAGAACAAAAGAATTCATATTTGTATTCTATCTAATTATAATATTTATTATTTTAAGGGTCAGAGAAGGTAATTAGATTAGGTAACTATAGCAAAATTAATTGTATTAGTGATAGAATACGATCATTATTTAGATTTAATTTTATTCTAATATAAGAAACTATTTAGGAGTCTTAAAGAAATATATAGTAGGTTAAATAATAGTATATATATAAATATATAATTACTATAGTAATTGATTAACTATTTAATGTAAATGAGAAAGTATTTTCTAAAATCTCTTGCATGATTCTTATAAACTAATAAAATTAATTTAAGATAGAAGAATTACTACTAGTAATAATATTTGCAAAGAAGTTAAAATAACTAACTTGATATCAAGTTTATTAAAGCATATAAAAGTAATGAAAATCAATTATTATTTACTAATAGGATAGCAAAAGATCAGTAGATCAGCAAATATTAAATAGCTATTTTTTTATTTATAATTAAATTATACAGATATAAAAGATGGTATTAAGAATATTAGCTTCATTTTATTATATTGTAATTCAAAAATAATATGAGTTATAATCTATATTTGATATAAAGTAAAATGACCATATTAAAAATATAGATAAGTTAGAAATCTATAAGCCTCTTATTCTTTATGATTGTGATAACCTTTTTAATTTTATTATGTAATTAATTATTAATAAACTATTTATTAGAAAAGAATGCAATTTAAATATTCAGATATCTAATACTGTTTTTAGAATTATACAAAATAATGATTTAATTTTTATTATTACATTAAATAATAAAAAATGTTATTTATAAAGTGTTAATTAATAATTTAGACTTTAACCAATTGACTTATATATTATTTAATATGAAGAAATTGTTGTAATTTTTATAATATTTGTCAAATCATCTTTTAAATTAGTAATTCACAAAGTATCATTTATATAGGCAAGTACAAGTATTTTAAATTATAAAACAATTGTGATAGAAGAACAAGTATCAGGTCTTTATTTAACTTGTATATTATATTTATACTGAGATTTATTAATTTGCTAAAAGGAATCATAATAAATATACTATGATAATGGTAAAATAATCTCTTCTTAGTTAATACCTAAATAAATAAAGTAAGTATTAGTATTATCATATACATTGAAAACTTAATTAAAATGAGAATATAATATGAATAAAATATAAGGAATCTTAAGCTATTCTAAAGCTTTAATGAGCATAAAAATGTTTACATAATCATAAACCTTATAATAAGATCTAAAGAAATAATTTTTTTTTTATATAAAATAATTAATTTATATTAGGGTTTTTTTTTGTAAATAAATAAATCTTATATTTAAGAAAATCCTATTTTATTTTATTTATATTATTATCTAAGAATTTTATTTTTTTAAAACAGTTTTAAATCTTGTATAAAATTTAACAAATAAATTAAAATTTTATTATAAATGTATATAATTTTTTATCTTTATTTTTTTTATTGAATACCTATTTTTCCTATTATATCAAGTAACACAAATTTATTTTAAAATAATTATTAAATATTTAATTTTCTTTATGTTTATTAATGCTCATTTTGATAACAATCATTTTCTTTTATACATATAGGAAGCAGCCAGTAAAAAAGTGAAAAATCACTTTTTAGTTAAAAATTTTTTATTGGTTCACTCTGCTGATCATAGTCATATGAATAAAACTAGCTTAATAACTAAAATTACTCAAAATTTATAGATTTTTTCTTTTTCTATTGACCGTTTCCTATATATGAATTTAAAATCAGATATTATTAAACCTTTATAATTTAAATAACTTTTTTGATTAGTAAACTAAAAAAAAAATAAATACATTTAAAAATTGTGTTAAAAATATTTAAATAAATAACTAAATCTGTTTAAAAAATAATAGAAAAGTAATTATTTAATTTTTAACATAAATTTATTAAATTAATATCAAATCCTATATAATATAATATTTTTAAACTAAAGTATTACTAGTTTAAAAAAAAGGTATCAAATTTCTTTTTAAACATTTTTTTATTAAATTGGAATTTATAATAACTATAAATCTGTAAAGTATATATTAAAGAATATCTTGATTTTTTATTAGAATTCCCTTTGATTAACAAATAGAATAACATCTTTATGATTATAAAGCTATTAAACCATCAAAGATCTCAAATAAAATGTTAAAGAAATTAGGTTATAAATGTAAATCTTTTTTGTTTTATATGTATTTTCATAAAGAATAATGTAATTAAAGTTTAAACTTTGCTAATCTTTCTTATTAATCCACTTTTGATCCATTACATTTAGTAAATAATATCCTTAAATTTCATCATCTAAAAAAATAGCTAATATAACTCGTTTAGATCTATATATATTATTCTAAGATATGTCAATATTTTTATGCTCAAATTATATCCATAATAATACAATTACCAATAGGTTTATTAATATTATCTTGAACTTCATAATCAAATTTCTACAATTTTTATCAATTGATAAAGAACCTAAAAAATCTACTTTAGATTGTATGTCAAAATCTAACCTCAACTAATCTACATCATTTTCATCTACCTTATTATTATCTTCAATTCTAGTATTAGATATTCTTTAACGCTCCTTAGCGATACTTCATAACAACTATCTATCTGTTCAGTTTTAATTGAAGTTGCATAAGATTTAAAATTTTAGGTAAGTTATTAGTATAACTATCATAATATGAGGCCTTTGTAATAGAAAGGAAGGAAACTCAAAAAAAAATAAAAAATGAGTTAATAATAAATCTGAACAAATTATAGTATTTAGAATATTTTTGGCTTATAAACTAAAATTTTAATTTTTTTGGTTTTCCTTCCTTTTTATTATAAAGACCCCATATACTCTCATTATATTCGTAATTAAGTTTATTGCAATATAAATATTCTACTATTTCCTCTCATTTTTTTAATGAAATACTCAGAAAAGTAGTAATAATAAAAAAAATAAATTATTATTGATTTTAACTAAAATTTTAAAAACAATTAAATCAGGTATTTTAAACGTAATTGAAAAAAAAAATAAGTAGCTGTGATGAGGTAAAAAGTTTCATTTAGTTTAATGTTAATGTTAAGCTTCATTTTTTATAATAACACGATTTTTTTAACTATAGTGCATAACACCTAAACTTATCAAACATTTAACATAAATTCTAAATATATCTAGTCTTCCAATTTATAAGTTATTAAAAAACTAAACCAATTTTTATATAGTTTAGGTAATGCTCTTTCAAAATATCAGCTTACATTTTGAATTAACTTAATTATTTAAAAAATTATCAGGGTTTAAAAATAAGGTACATTATTAAAAATTTAACCAATAAAAATGTAAGATTTTTATCACATGATAAATCAATCGCGTCAAAAAAAAATTTTTAATTGAAAATTAAATGATTATATTCACATATATACATATCATATACATACATATTTTTTTAAACACATTTTTGAATTTTATTATCTTGTTTAAAAAAATGCTACCTCTTTCCAAATAAAAAAGAAAAACAAAAGACTAACCACATATAGCAAATGGTAAATATAGCATAAAAAACACGTAAAGATGACCAGAACTCATCTGATCTGAATATGGTTAGCATAATATGGTTATCGCATTTTATGATGATAATGGTTTATCCAATTCTTTTGGTGATAACCCTATGATGATCTCGATCTTAGTGATAATGGTGACAATTTTTCAGGTTCTGGTGATAATATTAATAATGTACTGGCTGGTGATGGTGATGGTAATAGTGAACATATTGGTTACAAATTTCTTAATGAAGAAGTGTAAGATGATAATGATGACAGTGGATGGAATAATCTGAAGGATATAGAAACTGAAATTAAGCTTAATCAAAAATTAAAAGAATTCAGTTTAGTATAGAGAAATGATAATCAATTAGAAAAAACAAAGCGAGGACCATATAAAATAGGCAAGACGTCAAAATCAATATATTATAATAAGTATGATCTAAATGACTTGTTAATTAAAGCAACAGTTGACACTACAAAAATTACAAATTTTTTTAATATTAGCAAAACTTAATCTACCAAATCATAATACTTAAGCCTAATATATTAGAAGATTCCTCAAGTGATTCAGAAAGTGAGATTTTTAACCTATATACCTATCAAATAGCTGAAAAAATAAAAGATCTCAAAGAACAGTTAGAGAAACAACATAATCAATTAACAGTTATTGAGTATAATCATAAAAGAGCAATATTTGAATATCTTACCTTATTAAATAGTAATAACAGATGTAAAAGAGTTGAAATCAGCTTAGAAGTTGCTCAAAAAATTTATATTAATGGTGATGTATAGAAAACGCGAAAACTCTGAAATCTTACGAAATATTGATTACTTAACAACAAACTTCCAGCATCTAGACGTGAAAAATATCAAAAAATAATTAAAGTAATTGATGATGAAAATGTTGCAGAAAGATGTCACATTTAAATTCAAAAACAAAATTTCAATACCACACCAGCCATATTTAAAAAATTTGTTGAAGACGAATTATTTCCTAGTATTGGAATTGCTAAAGAAAAATCCATTGCTTTAATGACTGCAACAAGATGTAAGTAAAAAAATTTAAATATATAAAAGTAAAAATATAAACTATATCTTAAAAACACGAGAAAATTTTATAAATCAATCCAAAATACAGTATTAATAATTGTATTTTAGGATACTATTGATGTTCTTGATGCTTTCCTCTAAGACTTGACGCAATATAAATTCTTCCGAGTTGTAGTCTCACTTGTCTTGCACAACTATGAGAAGCTTGAAACTGTCAGTAACTTCCCTAACGATAAATGAATCTCCAAACATAGCTGATATGCCATTGACAACTATGATATTTCCCTTTTCCTAGTCAATCGCTTGGTTGTTGGCTTTGTTTGTCAACTTTGAGGATGGAAATTGTTCATTAGCCTGGCACACAGAGAGATGCTTTAACTTTACGACAATATCCAAAGTACTATTTTTACCATAAGCGCCACGATACAGGTCACGTAAAAGTAACATTTTCGTTTCATCTTTTTCGACAAGCATATTTGTGCGAAATGCTTCATGATACGCTATGAACAACTCCTATTCTTGCCAATATATGTTTTTGTTATGAAAAAATGTCATCTCAAGTGGTATTGACACAAGCTTTAACACATCATTGTAAAGCCATAGAAAAAAGAACGGTATCTTAATAAAAAAATGAATGGGACTGTCATTGCAATTGTTCAAAAAGATATGCAAGTCACGCTCTAAATTTTCGATGGTTTTGATGGGATCATTCGGATCCAGACATTTCTTGATGGTGACAGGAATTGTCTCTATGCAATGATATAAAAGTTCCAGAGCTAGACGTTTATTGTTTTGCACATTATTATAAATATTGTAGTGTTTCTGGATTTCCAACTTGGTATGCAGAAAAATGGTGTCATATTGATTTTTGTCCATATTATTAAAGAATATCTTTCCATTCTTAGTGATTACCTCAAAACAAGTATTAAGAAGATATTGGAATGCGCGAGGCAATCCTCCCGTATCTTCTATAAGATTAAGGAACGGTTGACAAAGCTTCCACTTAGACTCATCATCATCAAAGACTAGTGTGCCAAAAATTTTCGCATAATGATCCACAATATGAATCATCGATGCAGTTGATAGTAGAAGACAAATAACAAATTTAAATAAAACCTTTGACGCCTCTTTGGCCATAATGACAATTTGCGGTGCAGTTTCTGAAAGGAACGTTTGAATATAAGTGAGTCTGGGTAGATCAAATATGAAACATGCAAGATCGCTGATCATGTTCTTGAATAACTTATTTGTTAGGTTTACCGTTTTCTCATCCCAGATATCGATCTCCTGAAAATCATCGATATGGAGGAATATAAAGAGCACTTGATTGTTAAAGAGAGATAGAGATTTTCGAATACTTTCAAAGACCATACTGATATTGAATATTTTGATGTAAAGCTTGGCCAAAGCTCGAAAGGCTTCAAACACTATGTCATATTTCCTTTTGATAAAAAAAGTGAAAGCAATCCGCAAACCAATAATCACTGTTGAGTCTAATTCGCAGTTCTCATTTTTAAGATTGATGTCATTTGAAAAGTCAAGATAAATGTATTCGAAATATGGTTTACGACCGTCGATGATCCACTCTACGGGTAGAATCCAATCAGATTGTATATTATTGAACAGCTCCTCACCAAACTGAGTTTTTCCTACATACAAAATATTAGAGATGGACAAATATGCATAAAGTTATAATTAATAGTACAAAAACGATACCTATTCCCGGAGCTCCTCCACTAACAAGAATAAAGAAGTCTGTCTTTGCTTTACAGTTCTTAAGGTTATTATCCACATTCTTCAAAATAGTAACAATTGCATTGGTGATGTCACGATCCATTAATGGCATCTTCAACTCGTCAGATTTTTCAGTAAAATTAAGAAGGCATCTTTTAGAATATCCTTTATAATCTCTTTAACTAATGTTTGAAGTGGAACAAATTTGATTCGAGATCTAAACGGTGCAAGAAGATTCTGCTGTAATGTAAAACAACAATTTTTGCACGTTCTTACCGCTCTTTATTATTCCTTGTCCTTAGCAAAAATCAACAAAAAAAAATATGTCAGGAGTATACAAAATGATCCTTAATGAGAAAAGCAGTGTAGGCTTGATACGTCTGGATAATACGTGAGGTGTACAAATGTTAAACTATGTTATGATAGAACTTACTTTGGATGTTTAACTCATTGATCAACTCATCAAGAAGTTTAGCTGGTCTATAATACATGTTTAAGGGAGAACCACGAAACTCTTCGCTCTTTATTATTCCTTGTCTTTAGCAAAATCAACAAAAAAAAATATGTCAGGAGTATACAAAATGATCCTCAGCGAGAAAAGCAGTGTAGGTTTGATACGTCTGTTGAATAACACGTGAGGCGTATAAACGTTAAACTATGTTATGATTAGAACTGACTTTGGTTATTTAACTCATTGATCAAAACATCAAGATTTTTAGCTGATCCATAAAATATGTTAAAGGGAGAATCACGAAACTCATCTTTGGTCATATTAACAAAAGAATGACCATCAAACCTCTTAGTATGAAATTTTGTTAAGTCATTCTCATTAAGGTTCAAACTCTTTAATCATAATAATTAATAAGTTATTCCGTGTTATAATTTTTCACAACTTCAAACGAAGGATCAGAATTTGTAGTCATTTCTCAATTTGAAAAAAAAAATATAGTGGATTTGGGATATATATAAGAATCTATTGTCGCACAAATCAGTCAGAACGATCAATAATTACATCATTATTTTTTAAACTACCACCAATTAGAGCCCACGAATTCGTGCAAAATATGAAACCGTTGATGCGTTCGAAGCATCATAAATCACATGATCATATAAAAAGTAATAAAAAAATAATAGATCACTAAAAAAATGTAAATATTAGAAAGTTTATCACAAAAATACTATACAGTCGCCACTAGATATAATGAACCCTCCGTTCTGTGGGGTTTGGTTCAGTATAGGATGAGTTTGTTATATGATGCTCACTCTATATACTGAACTGTTCGGTATATAAAGTCTATAATAAAATTAAAGACATGTGATCATATTAGTAATATCGGTATTAACATTTACATGTATATCTTGCATATGAAAGATTAAATTTTACTTCTTTAAGCATTAATTTTGTACAATATCAACTTAAAAATCTTCTATTAATATCTATATTTTTGCGTAAATTTATCTACACCTGGTAAAAAACTTAAAAAATCACATCATTTAAAATTCACAGCATTTTATATTATTATACTTTATTAACAAAATTATATCAAAATACAAATTATTGCCCCAGTAAATATTTGGTGTGTAAGTTCAATATTATATTAGGAAGATTTGGTGAAAGAATATCCCCTTTCTTGACATGATATCGGAGCACTTTAAACAAAATTTCTGTGTTCTGATGAAAAAAAGATTATTCACGTTACGATAATTTTTATATTAATTTAAGTCATGTGATAATTCAGTATATCAAATACGTACAATAAGTTCAGATGCAGTATATGGCATTTTACTATATAATTTCAGTATATCCAGTGCAATTAATTATAAAAAATTTGGTTCTGCATCACTTGGTTCGATATAACGAGTTTTCAGTATAAACAGGTTCATTATAACCAGTGGCAACTGTATATGTCGGTATTTCGCTTAAAAATAAATGTTCTTTAAAAAAAAAAATAAAAAAAAATAAAATGTATTTGTACCCACAATATTTGAAAAAAAATTTTTTTAATGCAACTTTTTATTTTACAATCAATTTTTAAGAATTTTAAGTAATACCATTAAAAAATTATTAAAGATTTTAAAATAAAATTTTGTTGCACATATAGTAACGTAAACAAAAATATCATCAGATAATAAACAAAAATCACATATGTACAGACAGACATTATATGCATATTCTGGGATCTGAATAGAAGTGTCCTACACTTACGCTTAAGACAATAAAAAAATTTAAAATTTCAAAGAATTTTCTGAAAGTTATCTACATCTATCATCTAAAATTCTTTTATAATTAAACTTCTGAAATAGATACAATTCTAGCGAAAAAAAATAACAATTTTTTTTTAGATTTTGAAGCGAATCACATGAAATATCTAAACAAAAACATAAATAATGATGTAAACAAGTTGTTTATATCATATTTTAATAAATATCTGCAGTCTAGCGATCGCAAGCATCATACAATAGTTTCACTAAAAGAGTGCTGTCAATATATTAAAGCTTTATGGAAAGGTGGCATTCGTAAAGTCGCAGACCTTCAAAAAACCACTGGATATCCATTAAAAATATTATACAGATGGGTCAGAAGTCGTCTGAGACGTCCAAACTGTCTTTTTTCTTTTCAGCGTCGCTACCTTGATCAAATTGTGAAATCGCGTAAATATGCGTCAAGTAATGAAATAACTGAAAACCTAAAAAAAATATCCTGACCTTGATATTGCACCTCAGACGGTTAGAGAAAACCTTCAAGACCTTAGATATAAAGTTTGTATTCCTCGTTCAGTTCCTTTTCTTATCCAGAATGCTATGAATCGTCATGTCACTTGGGTGAAAACTCATCAAGAAGAATGTTGGAATAATGTCATATTTTCTGACAAGTTGACATTTTAGATGTTTCGTAATATGACGCTAGTTCGTTACAAAGTTGGAAAAACAATGCCAAGACGAGTTATGGTAAAACACCCCTTTAAAGTCCATATGTGGGATGCATTTTGTGCAAAGAGAATTGTCAGATTTCACATGTTCATAGAGAACATGAATGGGAAGCTTTACTGGAATAGTATAACCGAAAATTTGTTTGAGCAAGCATCTCGGATTTTTTGAAACAGGTAGACATTCCAACAGGATAACGATTCTAAGCATCAAGCTAAGCTTATGATCGCTTTGCTTCAGGATCATTGTCCTCGAGTTCTCAATTGGCCGCCTTCTTCTCCAGATCTTAATCTGATTGAGAATCTATAGGCAATAATGAAAAGAAATGTTAAGAAGAAGGTTAATATTATGGTCATTGAAAAAAATTGGCTATGCAGGAAATTTTTATGAGGTTAATAAGGAAAGAATGAGAGGCAATCGATGTAAACTTATGTATTAATCTTGTAAGGTCTATGCCAGGACATGTAGGAATGGTAGTAGAAAGCCAAAGTCACACAATAAATTTTTAGGATTTTTATATTTTCATTATATATATTAGGGAGTTTAATTTTAAAATATTGGATTTTTTTAATAAAAGCTGGGTGAGATATTTGCCAATTTGTAATTGTCATTTTTTTCCGCCAGAATTGTAACTATATATAAACTAATCTATGCTTAATAAATTTGGAAGTTACATACTTATGTTCATGATTAACTATATGATTACAAAATTTACAATATAATTTCTTAATTTCTAAATGAAAATGAATTTTAAAAAAAAAGAGAGAAATTTTTATTCTTAAAATAATAAATGCATATAAAAATTGCCTTGAAAGTACAATGCATATATTATATGAAATTATAGTGCATAAATGCAAAGTTATGCAAATGCATGAATCTGTAAACTCTACTACTAATTATGGATTCTAATTTAGTAACGCTTTTTTATAACATGATTTTCAATGAAAATGCTGAACTATGTAAATTTTTTATTAAAAAACTTCAAAAACAATTTTTCTAATATCATAAATGATAATGAAAAACTTAATTACTTAAAGGAATACCTGAGCTTTTCTTCTCTGTTTATCATAAAAAACCACGTTATTATTCTTTATAGTTTTATTCTCTTGCAACCTCAAATTTTATGTCAAATAAAGAAATATGCAGAGAACATATCATTAATAATGCTAAAAGAAAAAACTGTTATCAAATTTGTTTAGAAGATCTAAAAGAATTATATTGTTCAAGTTCAAGAACCTCCATTTAATAGTAAAACTAATGTTACGGTCAGTTCTTTAAGATGCTTATAAGTGATAAGCGAAGCAATGTATATGGGTGGTAAGCAGAAGGTTTAATTTGATATTTAGATTTAGAAGAATGTCAGTAAATTAACAGTTTATTTAATAACTATAACAATAAAGTACTGCCTCAGTCGGCGCTCTGTACTATACAATTATGTTAAAGGGATTAAACTAAACTATTATATAAAACTATAAATCAGACACACTGCTAAGCTAAAGGAAATTGTCCTCTATTTATATAAAATGAAATGTATAAAGTTATCGAAGATATAAATATAATAAATAAGATATATAAAATAAATAAAATATAATAACTATATGAGATAAATAATATAAAATAAATAAAAAAAATATATTGTATAAAAGAAATATATGTTATAGACGATATAGATGACATAGAAGAAATATATAATTTCTTAGGGATCGACGTCATCCTTTAGATCATCATCATCCATATCTTCTTTCGTATAACATTAGCTTAGTACAGGCAAGTAAAATTTATTTTCGAGAAAATTATTCAAAAATACAAATTATATATATTAATTTTACTGACACTAAAAAAGATTATGATTTTTGATGAATATATGAAGGTAAAGAAAAATCTGATTTTTTATATTTACAATAACGATCATAAATAATGTAACAAAAAAATAAAATCCTTTAAATTTAAATATTTCTTTTAATTCTAAAGGTATCCTAGCCCTTTTTAATAAAATTTTATTTGATAATACTATTATTTTTTAATATTAAATTTTAATATATATTAATACTTCTAGTTATAAAATAATATGTAAGTAATACAAATCATGTGTTATATTACTTTTGATTATTTTTGATATAAATCAGATGATCATTATTATGCTATATAAAAAATTGTATAAAAGAGTATTTTTTTATTTATTGTTTAATTATGTAATATATCATAACTACTTAATAAACAAGTAACAGCAAAAAAGCATCACATAATTCCTAATAAAAGAACACAAAATTTTTTTATTACAAAATGGATATTGTTAATGTGTAATTCTTGTGAACTACGACTGTTAAACAGGGTGTTCAAGTGGTTTATTCTTTTTAATTGAGCAGTAATCTTTCAATAGTTTACAAGCTTTAACTCAGAAGATTTATTAAAGTATTTATTTTGTCATAATGAGTTACGATTTAACAGATTATTAGTAGTGTATATTTGTAAATATTATGTTTATTCACAAGTAAGATAATAATAAAGATGAAGAAAAAGAAGAAAAATAAAAGAAAATAAAGAAGAAAAATAAGAAAGAGAAAAGAAATAAACTACTAAAACTAAAAGGTGACGCAGTAGACCAGTTGCCTCTAAAACTACTAAAGCTATCCTATCAAATTCCTATCTGTTTCTTCTCTTTACATGAACTAAAAACTACCTATTTATATAAAATAACTTACATAGAAAGATATAACTAACATGTCTAATATATCAACTATGTCTAATATGTCAACTATATCTAATATATCAACTATATCAGCTATGTCTAATATATTAACTATATTATATATGTTACATATGTCTGACATGTCGTATATGTCAGTTATGTCAAATCAGTCGATCTTTTGCATTACATGAGTTGCGTCACATTTATCCGTTTACAATATATAACAAGAAAAGTAGTAAAGATTTAAAAATTGCACCTTCTACAATTTCTCGTATTAGAAAAAGATGATTTAAAATCCACTTTTAACAAAACAGATCATCTACACTGGTTAAAATCAAAAAAAATCAGATATGCGAAAAATCAGCCTAAATTTGACCTAAATTCAGCAAATTATCAAAAAATTAGCCTAGCTGATTGGTATACACTAGAAATTGGTTAAGAATTAGCTAAAATTTAACCTATCTTATTTATAGCTAATTGGCATATGTTAAAAATTAGCTAAAATTTGATCTATCTTATTTATAACCAATTGATGTTTAATTTACATCCAATTGATATACATCAAAAATAAACTAAAATATTTCAAAATAAAATAAAATTCAGAAGAAAATAAGGAAATATAACTGATATTTAAGATTAATAGCCAAATAATACTAAAAACATTTAATTTATTTTTACAAATGGTATTTTCTATTAATTAGATTAATAATTAAATATTTTTTTGCATTTCATTAGGCTAAAGTTTGATAGTTAATTAGTACAAATCAACTTAAAATATAATGAATTAATATTATACAATCACGACTTTCTGGATAAAATTTGGTATACTATAATTCAACATTACATGTTTCTTTTTTGCTAAAATAATACTGCATATTTGGAGAACTTGCAAGTTTATACTAATGAATAAATATTAGAAAATATTCAGTCTTTCTAGATGGCAAATTGACCTTATATGTAAAATAATATTAGACTTGATCAGAATAACAATCGACTGTATCATCATTTGTAATAAATTTGATCAAAATGTATAAAATTTTACATGTCACAAAGATATTAATGATCTAAAGATTTTAGAACTAATTTGATACCTTCTGAATTAATTCATTTTGACCTAAATTATTATACTATTTTCTGAATCCTTATCAAATAGCTTTTTAAAATCAAATATGTATAAGTTATATTGTAGTATTTAACTATCAAATTAAGCATTTTGCTTGAAATAATTATATTATTGAATAATAGTTTAAGGAATTCGCTAGGAAATAGTTCATTACCAGTAATATTTAATTCCTTAATATTTTGTGAATTTATCTAAAATTGATGGATTTTGTCAGAAGAAAATTTATCTGTATTTGAAAGAAAACTAATTGAAGGCTGATTATCTAGCAATTTAAGCCCTTTTACCTTAATACCACTGAACTTTTAATACTATTAATTTGAATATCAAACATCAATCGACACATTAGCTCAAATTTGATTTTTCTATTATTATTCAGTAAAAAATCTAAAAATCATTTATAAATTAGTAAGCTGATTTATTCAAGAAATTTTCAAAAAATAATTACCTAATATTCCATTCATACGTTCAAAAGAAAAATATTAAAATGCATATAACAAATCATAATCTCTTGAGCAATAATATAAATGAAAAGAAAAGTGAAGATTTAGCATGATTTTATTATACCTGTGATTATTTTCAATCAACTTCACCATCTTAATTAGTCTTCAATGTGCTTCATATAATAGATCTGATTCTACAATCTGGTTTATTAAAATTATACAAATCCTTACGAAATGTATAAGAATCTTTCTATTTACAATTGAAAAATGTTCTTAAAGTAAAATAGTAGTATATATAGTAAAATATATTCACTACTGATCAGTTGTAAAATTAGAAAATCCTTCTTCTTCATGAATTTTACCTAGAATTCAACCCAGATCAGAAGGAATCTGAAACTCGTTCATCTTTTTCTAAATCTTATTCAAAGAATTTGATATCAAAATTCCTTTATTGATCCAGATTCATTTTACTATCCATTGTGTAATATCTAAAAATAGGCAATGCATTAGATCGATTGTGATATATTTTATAGGATCAAAATATGATAAATGTAATAATTCAAACTATCTTATGCTACTTTGCTTTACAAAACATTTTTGTAAAGCATTTGAATTGTAGCATCTCCATTCTAACGCATTTCGATGATGCTCAATTGGATCTCACATAATGAACCAATTATTGATATTATCTATTCTGATAAAATTATGCTAATGATTTTCATAATTTATTTTCTTTTCACAATTATGATATGATACTAAGGTTAAAATATATCTACATATTTTTTAGTAACCGATACATCACATGAAATAAGAATTAAAGCTGCATGAATATTCTTTCTTTTAGGATATTTATATATTTTATCTATTGTAAATCCATCTCAAAGTAATTCCAATTTATCTACAATTGGCACTAAATAATAATTTATTTTATGTAAACTGACTTCGCTTGGTTTGAGTAAAAGATTAATAGTCAGTAAATTTTTATGTTTAAATCAAATATCACAAAGTAAATTGCATACAGTCAACTCTTGTTATAGCGAACTCTTGATATAACGAATTTTTTGAACAAATATAATAAAAATACTCTTGTTATAGCGAATTGGCCAATCAAATCTCTTAAAATCTTCACTATAGCCTTATAGCGAAGTTGAGGTCTAGGACATAGAGTTCGTTATAACAAGAGTTGACTGTATAGTGGTATATATTACTCTAATGCTATAAACAGTACCACTATATGGCTGAAACTAGTTGAGATTTAGCATTAATTCAAGATGAGAATCGATCACTTTATTTTGAAAAAAATTTGCTGAATCTTCTTATGAAGATTCTTTTAACGTTTACTATACTTCATTATTATATATATCAGTCATAATATTATCAAAATGCTGATAATTTGTCTATTATTTCAGACAAGTTTCAAAATTAGACTGATAATATATAAAAGTAAGTTGTTATAAAATTCCAAAAAATGGAAAGATTAAATTAAATCAAATTAAAGTTTGATTTATCGATATGATTTTTTGAGATAAGAAAGTATTGCAAAATTGTATTTTATGAATTGATGAATTAGGAAATTCCATATGCTGACATTTCATTACAATCAGCATATTATTCTGTTAAAAATTCACTACTTTCTGTTTTTGATACAGCTTATAACATTTGAAATAAGAAACGAAATGATGAAATTGGTTATTTAATCTAAATACTTTTTCATAAATTTTATTAACGCCTCAATTGCAGACTCTATAATATTGAATCTTATCTGAAATGACATGATCTAAAGTAAAATTCACAAAAATCAGTTATCAATTGATTCTGTATTTGGTGGATTTTGAAATAGCTCATAATCTGATAATGCATAATCTTCAAAAGTTTTAAAATCATCCTCTACAGAAATATCATCATCTTCAAATTCACCTGTAATATAATCTTCTTCAGTGATAAATTTTAAAGATTCTGAATGTTGATCAGCTTCTGTTTCAGGATTATCAGAA